GGTGGCTTCTGTGTTAGCTTTCCAAACTCTGTGCAACTCCAGCCTTAATGCTTTCCCCGGAATTCCTCTTTTATTTTAGTATTTAGAGCTTCTTTAGCACCTGTGAATAAGATGAACCTCTGTGAATTAATAACCTTTAGCTCTGCCCTGTTGGTTCTGGACGCACCTTGAGAGACGTTTGCATTTCAAACATTCCAGAAGAAGTGTTGCACTGTAAGAGAGTATTTGATTCACCACTGCAGATGCTGTTTTTTCCACTCTACACTCTTGATTTTGGCTTTTTTCTCCAGTACAGTCCAGACAGTAGACTGCCCATCGGTCTCTCATGTCTGCTTTTCTTCTATTTCTGCTCCTGTCCTAAATCCAGTGAAGGCAAACCTTTGATTTCTCTCCTCCTCGCGTACTCATCTGCTCTGACCTGAGCAGCTGTGGGTGGTGCTACTCCAGTCGCTAAGCACTGCTTGCTTTAGTCCACCCATGCTGTGGATGGTTGTGTTAGTTCCCTATTGCTGTGATCACAAATGACCACAAACTTCGATTTATTATCCTACAGCTCTGTAGGTCAGAAGTCCTAAAATGAAGGTGTTGGCAGGGCTGTACTCCTCCTGGAGACTCTGGGGGAGAATCAGTTTTCTTGCTATTTCTGGCTTCTAGCTCACCTGCATTTCTTGGCTCATGGCCCATTCCATCTTCAAAGCCAGCGATGGTGGACTGAGTCCTTTTTCAATCAATTCAGTCCAACCTTCTCTTCTGCTTCTCTTCCACTTCTAAGGACTCTTGTGATTCCATGGGCCCACCTGGATAATCCAGGATAATCTCCCTATTTTAAGGTCAGGTGATTGGTAATTTTGATTCTATCTGCAGCCCCAGTTCCCCCTTGCCATGTAACGACATATTACAGGTTCCAGGGATTGGGACACAGGCACCTGTGGAGGTCATTATTCTGCCAACCACAATGGGGCAGCTCCAGTTGCTGTTTCCTGCCTTCAGGGGCTGCTTCCTATTGGCTTCTCCTCGGTTCTGTTCTCCAAATGCTTCTGTGGCAAGCTCTTTCTTTACATTTTCTTTAGTCTCCTAATCGCTGGCATTTTCAGCCTCATCGACCTCCTCATTCCTGTCTTTACTTTTGTTTTTTGCTGAAAAGTTTTAGGGGAGTTTCCTTTCTTGAGTCTTCGTTTTTTTTTTTTTTTTTTTTTTAATCCTTGTTGACATCTTCCTTCTTATAGTCCTGGCCACCTGATGCTAGAGCAGCTGCTGCTTCTGCCACTGCTAATTCAGATTTCTCAACATCTTGATCTTCCCTCACCACCTCCATTGGCACCTCATCACTTCTATTGGGGCAGCTTTCCTCTTTCTCTTCCTTGGTTGGCACAGCTCCCTTCTTGCCTGGTGTAGCGACTGCTGTGGCCAGTGTGGCTGGTTGCTTGGAAGTGTGGTGGTTGCTTTCATCTTGCATAAAGTAATAGCTGCTTTCTTGGAAGTTGTGGACCTTTTAGCTGGGGAAACTCTTGCCTGGAGTTGTGGCAGACTTCCTGCCTTTCTTCTGAAAGATAACCACTTCGTCTCTACTGGTTATATTTACATCTTCTGATATTTCACCTTTATTACTGACTGTTGGGAAAATGGAATAATTTAATCAGGCCCCCCTCACCTTAGGTGCATTGGGGGTGGTGCAGTGCATTCTTTGTAAGCAAATTGTTTGTGGGTGGAGTTCGTGCACCTGAGTGGCTCCGCGACCTTGGCTGGCATCTGCCTTGGGCGTTCACCCTGTGCGGCCAAGCTCTTGAACCTGCGGCTTCCAAGGACCTGTTTGCTGGTTACCTAGCTCATAGACCTGCGTGTGAGGGGTCTGGTGACCCAGCCTGGCATGTGAATGGTTTGTGACCCAGTCTGGGAATGGGCTTGAGGGGTCTGTGAGCACCAGACCCAGCCCTAGCTCGACAATTGGCCCAGTCAGCAGGGTTATGGGCAGGTAAAAGAGCTCTACACTGACATCTGTCTCCTTTGGAAGAGTAACCATTTCCTTTAGGTCTTGGTTTCTACCTGTAGTTGACCTCTAGTAATATTGGAAGGAGGTGTTGGGTGAATGGCTTGAATAAGCTGAGGAGAAGCTGAGCAGTGTTGATGTAGGCTGCAGTGCAGAAGATACTGTTATAAAACTAAAAAAGAAAGCATTCCTTGATATTAGGAATCATTTATAAATAAGGTTAGTAGTATATTTTATTTTAACAAATTGTGCCCAGTTTTGAATTTTAAGTATTTTTAGAAATTCAGTTTTATATAAATCACCTAATACTAGCACAGTCTTACATTTTCTTGGTTGTTTTTGGCAATACTATGTTTCCATTTCTGTTATTTTGGGTCAATGCTATATTGGTCATACTGTCACCAGTTAAAATTTCCTTGTTTCTGTCTGTTCCTGTCTCCCAACAGTGCATTATGTTCCAAACTGCCATATTAGTATTAAATTCTGCTCAGACATCTTTAATGACACTTGTTACTCATACAATTTAAATCATGTTTAGTGTTCAAAAGCAGCAGAGAAATGCTTTATTTTATTTATTTATTTTTATTCCCCAAAGTGTAAAAATCAGTTTATTTACTTACTTATTATTATTTTTTAAAATTTTTATTGAATCAAAATTGATTATACATATATTTGGGGTCCAACATTGAGATATGTTGATCAAATCAATATTACTAGCATATATATTGTTACAAATCATACTTATTATTTATGCTCCTTGTCCAATCTCATCACATCCCCTTCACCCTCCCCCCTCCCCTCTCTAGTTACCATAGATTTCTTCTCTCCTTCTGAAAGAATAATGGTTTCTCTGTTGATTTGTTGCTTAGTTGATCTGTCCAATGCTGAGAAGTGTGATCAGGTCCCCCAGTATTATCATAGAACAGGTGCTTCTTCTGTCACTCTGGAATGGGCTTTGTGGAGAGAGATATCCTCTTCTTTTCTTTATCTCTGCTGGTGACTCTTCTTGTGTCAATGCACTCCAGTGGCTGGTGGACCATCTGCATGGTGGTTGTGGCATCCATGCTTATTGTGGTGTCTATGGTGGACCACCCACACGGAGGTGATGTTTTTGGCATGCTCCTTGGCA